GTCAAGTTTGCGTCTTGCAGATAACATACGGCGTCGCCGTTGCCTCTCCACATAGGTTTCATGTTTTGATGAGACCAGTGGAACACGCACTTAGCATCGTCTAGTCTCCGCCTTCTCCGTTCCACCGGAGTCTTGATGTTGTAGCAACATCCGACGACGAGCTGCTAGATCCGTAGTCTTCGTCCAGCGAATAACGTACCATCTCACGCGCATCTGAAGGGTCTTCCCCAAGATATATCAGTCCTCGTCCGACCATGCCACTCTTGGCATGCAGCAAATGCTCCACTAATTAAGCAGCTCTCAGTGAAACACGTGTCACTTCACTTTCAGCCCACAAGCCATGCTCGCGACTCCTGTCCGATACATCTTCGGTGTAGGAAACATCGATCTCCAGCAGGTTGACCATCCCGGTCAATATCCCGCGCCAATAGCGCTTCTGTCTCATAGCAGAGGTGGATTCATGACTCACCAATGGTCCACCAGGAGACGTGCGCGTAGCGCCCAAGGTCTTCGACCTCCAATCAATCCATGACTCACGGTGCTTTTACCATGCCATACCAAGGATGAGGTCATACCAAGAATCCAAGTCTAAGGCCACGCAACGTTTCACGCTATCAAAGTCAAGAAACATGACACCGAAGTCAGCAAGGACCGTCAGCACAGTGACACAACTCCCTGTTGCTAAGGCAACAGTGACGGTGTTACTCAATCGCGCTTCCAGCGCCTCAGCATACAGCCGACTTCCTTCCATTGTGGAGCGTCGAGCGTAATTGCCCGGCGCCCCGGAGTCAATTAGGATCTTGCATAAGTCTTTCACGGTTGCTTTCACGACCAGCAAGCCCGGCTTGCATACACGTTCCATGTTCAAGAACACGGAGCTCTTCGGGGCTAGTCCTTGCTGACCGCTACCTCTTCGAGGTTCAACAGAAATTTTTTTATTCCGAGTAAGGCACCCCGCGCCTTCTGGGTGTTGTCGATTTCCCGAGACAAACCAGAAGACTGGTGAGAAGTGGGATGTCAGTTCGATGAACCTTGACGCGCCTTGCGCAGGGGACACCAGCTCGAAGGTGACAAGTTTCCCCACAGTTAGAACTATGATCTACACAGATCACGTGTCACCACGCACTGCGACTCAGCCGCCTCACCTCTCGCATAGGAAAGCCTGGAAGCTCTTTTTTGCAGAATATATCTTTGAGGTGAAGTATAAACCAGGAAAGCAGAATGTTTTGGCTGATGGGTTGTTGCGCAGACCGGATAACGAGCTTGCTAATGTCACAGCGGTGACGTCGTCAGTTAGCGCCGCATACGCGGGTGATTTTATGTGCGTAGCGCTGCTACGGGATTTCAGGAGCAAGGCGTTTGTAATCTCGGACAAGAAGTTGTCGTCGCGATTGCGCGCACGATTACACCGATATTCGTTGAGTAAGGTTGCTGTATTATAGCACCGATTCGACGAATACACCGCGGATTGAATCTCCACACGACGAGATTTTGAATGAGCGTATCTCGATGCGGCCCACAACGCCCCTTTAGTGTTCATCTCAGTCGTGAGAAGAACTACTGCTCTGTGAGCTGCCACTACTGGTGGTCCAATGGACGAGCACATATGTGCGCACGTGTGGGACGTGTCAAAGGATGAAATCTTTTCCGAATTTGGCTGCGCCGCTGTCCAGTTTACCGGTACCATCTGAGTATTTGCAGCTCATGAGTATAGACTTTGTGTTTGGCCTGCCGAAGGTCTCGGCGGGCAACACGGGTGTGGTGGTCTTTGTGGACCGTTTGACCAAGATAACTCATCTTGCGTCGGGTTGACACCATTGACGGTGTCGGTACAGCGACGGTGCCCGTAGATTGTGTTTTTTGACAACATGGACTACATGAGTCAATTGCCTCGGACAGAGATCCACGCTTCACTGGGAAGGTTTGGTCGACAGTCATCAGGGTGCTGGGCATTGTCAACAGCGGGCGTCATCCGCAAATCGTTTGTCAAAGTGAGCGCGTGAATAGCGTTGTTGACAAAGTCTTTTGCAGCGTCTGCGCAGAGACATTGAGGCGCTGGGGCGCCATACTGCCACTTGTGAAGTTTGCTCTGAACAATGTATTGCAAGCGTTTACTGGCTACGCACCGTTTTACGTAAACGGGCTCTATCATCCTCGCGTCCCGCTGACGCCACCATCCCATGGCTCAGGGCATGGTTGGGGAGGAATAGCCGAACGGCTAGCTGATGTCAACCCTCTCACTATCCGTCAAAAAGTCGATGACTTCCTGTCTACCTGACTGAGTGTCTTATGATATGCTCGGCTGAAAGCCAAGATATGCAGAACAAATATGCAGACGGTGAAAGCGGAATTTTCCTTAAATACGTTGAGATCTGAGACCTGGTTCAATTTTTGCGAAAAACCTTCCTACACATTCAGTTTCTGCTGTGTCTAAGACAAGGTTCCGACCAATGTTTATTGGACTTTTTAAGGTTATGTCAAGCGGGGCTTTGCTTATACGCTGAGCCTTCCGAGAAGGATGCGCACCCACCCGGTGTTTTTATGTGGGCTTGTTTAAGCTGTACCGGGATCTGGCGCATGTGAACGCTGAAGCGTTGGCGCCGAGGCGGCGCCCACAGATGCTCGATTACCCAGAAGCTGAACCAGCAACTGGTTTTGAGCACGAAGCGCAACGATTTTCGTTTCCGACGGCGCCAAGAGCCACACCGTCGCACGAAGTGACGCATTTGTCTGCTCGACGGCTAGGAGCCGTTCTGACAGAGCGCGATAGTCCTCGACGTGAGAGTCGGTGCACAACCTGCTCCTAGCTCTTGCGTCTTCCTCACAGCGGTATGCAGCATCGGCATGGTTCTCAGCGGAGCCACGATGACGACGGATATTGTCCCAAAGAGCTCGAAAAGCATCGCGAGTCACCGGACGCCGATCGACCAAGTCGTCATCGTCCGCCGCCGATTCTTCTTGACAAGAACGGTGGCGTCCACTATCACGTGGAACGTTTCGTAGGTCAACGTCGTTGACAGAGTCAAACCCAGTATCTCGTGTAGTGGCGAGGATACCCAGACTTCAAGAACTCTTGGGAATTTGAGGTGCCACATCGGCAAGACTTGACGTTTGAATTACTCCATCACGCTCCCGCGAGCTCTGTGGTCGCTCACATTGTTGAGTCTACGACCACAGCAGCTCAGGGCCACAGCTTCAGCTCACCTCATGGCCCTTCGGCTTCCACGGATACTGCCGAGAAGCGCGGGGCGCACAACGACGCGGAGCGTCATGATCCTTTTGATCATAAGCGTCTCAGGGAAAAAATTCGAAGGAAGTCGGCGATGCACCTTGAGTTTAGCAAACTCGAACTGAAGATGGCGTTACTCGCGCACGTCCACCTCTATGTGGCTTTGCTGTAAGTTGGACAGCGAGAAAAGTTTCTGGCGCCGCTGCACCCATTGCTAAAAAACATCATCATCTACAGCAGTTTCGCCAAAGGCGAACACCACAGAAATCGTCTGCTTTGCTGGTACAGGAGCGCCTCTTCTTTGAACGCAAAGTGGACCGCAGTACCTATCTATTGAGATCCCATGAGGTAACAAAAAGCAAACTCGGAAAGCTTTTTGTTGGTCAAGCTCAGCTTATGTAGTGGCCGAGGGTCCGACTATGTCGACGGACAACGATAGAGTGATCGCGTCTTTTGCTTAAGTGGCGGGTCCGCCGAGCGGCAGCCGTATTCCATACGAGGGCTAGGCCCGACTATTGATGCGAGCGCATAAGAGCCGCCCTCTGGGCAGCCTCCAACAGCTGCTCCTGTGCCTCGTCGAGGCGATTGGTAATGATGCCACTTCCCTCGGAAGTCGAGAGGTTAGGAAAGGGACACGGTGTCCGCATGGTTTGAGCAGGGCTCATGTCGAGCCGTTGGCGCAGCTCGTCCTCCTCTTCTTCCCATCTGGGAAAGGGGTATCCGACTCGTATTCGACTTCCCCGAATCCTCGACGAAAATATTCGTCGCCCGTGGCTGGCGCAATGTGCTCAGCCCGGCTTAAAGAGAGTTTGGGATGCGCTTTCTTTGAAGTCACGGACATACTGTTCGGAGTTGCGCCACAAAGAATGGCTCTGCCCGCAGGCGTTTTTTTCATAGCTCATTGAGCAAAGAATGCGTGAAGAAGGTCCGGAGGACGTTAAGGTGTCTCAGACACGTGAGCATCATACGAGGCGACAGTTAAAAAATGTGAATTGCGGGTATTCTCAAATTTGATGGGGGAGAGTGTAACGGGGTTACACGTACCCTGGTATGAATGGGTGGGTCACACAAAATGGTATGACCATGGCTAGATGTTAAAAGATGCCACTACGTGGCGGGACCGCCAGTAGCTATGCATTTTAACTAGGCTTTACTATTCAACAAGGAAAACCTATATATTTAGATATAGGCAACTCTGCCGCAATAAAAAAATACAGTAAACATTATGAACTGAAGAGTTTATTTGCCTTGGGTTAAGGTTCTGGGTGCTCTTGGAGTAATCGGATTGCGATCCGCTACACTCGTACTGGCTCTAGTATAGCACGTAAGGTCGGTGACGTTAGCTTAGCTTACTCTTAGCTAAGAGCTACGACAGCCCCACTGTAGTGCTTAGTTGGAGCCATTTTAGCTGCTGGTTGCAAAATTAATTAATAAGTTGTTTGGTACCAAAACTACGCATTGAAATGGCTGACATTTTAGTAATTATTGAGCAGATTCCAACCTCAAAGCATTTGATATCATATCGTGTCGTGTTACGGCAAGATGCCGCAACATGCAAGAATTGGACTTTTCCTCAAATATCATCTTTAACAGCGCAGTTATAAGACTGGAATTGCGAGTATTCTTAGCGTACATATTTATACAATAAATTGATATCTTCACAAATTTTGCAACAGGCTGCCATTCTGATTATGATTGGTGTATAATGACTCCCAATCACTATGTCAGATGGTTGCTTTTTTTGCTACATAATTAACTTTAGCATTTGATCATGGGCACTGGTAGGCCCGGAGCAGGCAGGGCGCGCGCTCACGCGAAGAAAAAGCAGTACAAGCGTGGTCATGCCACAAAAAATCGCGCACGCGATATCGACCAGATCCAAGATGATCTTCGTGTTGAGAAGATGACTGGTAAGACTACGAATTTTGAGGAGGACGAAGACCTACCAGGGCTGGGCCAGTTTTATTGTACGCCATGTGGGCGCCACTTTATCGATTCCAAGACTCGTGACGTGCACTTAAAAACCAAAGTACATAAGCGAAGATTAAAAGATGTTGCACAAAAGCAGTACACGCAAAACGAAGCAAATCAAGCCGCTGGCAAGGGCATTGAAACCTACAAATTGGCGCATCAAAAACAGACAGACATGATGGACGACCTTTAAGTTATTGGTTTAATGCAGAGTCATGGGTTCAAATTGAAATAGATCTTTATTGTATCTGTCGTGCGTACCACTTTAGATTTGCCAAAAAACTTCTGTAAGCTAAGTTTAGTACAACCTTCGTTTATGTTTATGACTGGGTCTAGGAAAAAGCAGCGTAGTAAACCATTTCGTTAACGCAATACGCACGTACTCGACATGACAAAAACCCAGGCACACAGCCAAAAATGTTACACATATGATGATGTCCAACCAAGTGTAACGTAATGCTCATGTCTGTCGGGTTTGATAGTAGCTGATGTTATCCTGGTATAGCTGCTTCAGATTGCTGCAGTTAGTCCATGGAGTAACATCACGCCTGCAACACCGGTGGAAGTTAATTTCTCTAAGAAACAGCTTCAAAATGCCAAGGCGCTTCATCACTCAGCACATCCAATTGCGACTCGAGAAATTTCGTACGATCCCAGTTGCCTAGCGAATGGGATGCTTCGCCACGACCCATTCAGGTCACCATACTCGATTATTTCAGCAGTGCCAAAAAAGCCCCAACACCTTGCTCCTTCACACCCATCAAAGGTATCTTCGCTCATGTCGCCGCTTTTTTCTCAATCGTTAAATTTTAATCACGCTCGTGACGATATAGATCGCCCACAGAGGAAGCAGCCGTGCGGATAGACTTGATGCAAAGCCCGTGGTCCACGCATATCAAAAGTTGCTAAAAGAGGTGGAATCAATGGTATGTTTGGTTATAAAATCAATTGTAAGTAAATTTAAGCTTTTTTGAATTGTTAGAAATTTGAAGCAGCCAAAAATGCTGAAATACGGCAAATGGAAGATGCCGCCTATCTTATGGGACTTGCCAATATATCGGACGTGATGGTTGCCAAACAAAAGGATCTTCTTCGCTATTATACATTTAAGAATGAAGTTGATGTTTTCCAGCAACATCTAGTTCCATTTATCTTCGGCATTCGCTCAAAGCATGAGCGTCAAGTCTACTCAAGCGTTAATCGTCACTATAATCGTATGAAATCAATTCAAGACATGGGCATTCATATATACAATCTTGGAGATTACCGCTTGGAGAAGACTGATCGAGTTATTTCTGCTCGCACTAACAACACATTATACCGCCGAATACGACGCCAAAGCGCTGCAAAGGTCGTCGACATGGAAAACATCCGCCCTGCGCGACATACTTCCAAACTAGGCACACAAATTGATGATAAATTTATTTATCAGACACATGAGAAAAGGAACTTTGAATAAGGATTGCGATCTAGCACACAAACTATATAAGTGAGCTCAACGCATAATCACTTCGTTGCGGTCTCATCAAATCCAAATGCAGCTTCCATCACCACAAATATGGACTAACCTGTTCATTATTCACAGGCGTAATGAATGGCGTATCGTTGTTGCAAGCATTCCATCAACTTACTCTCATTCCTTTTTTTTCTTCTTCATTCTCACTACAACTACAAAGTCCTCAGGACATCAGACATTGTCGTCTAATCCTCCTCTTCCATTCCCGTAAGTAGCCCTCAGGACTTTTCGTTTGTCATCTCTTTTCCTTTGGCTAGATTTCTGCTTCATCAGATAGCACCGTCATCGCCCTCATCAGTTCTCGTCGCAATTGTCAGCAATTTCCATCCATTTTTCAGTTTTTGATTCGCGGTCTTGAGCAAATGTCATCAATCTTGGGACGATAACAATTTCCAAAAAACACATCAAGGCCTAAGGCAGGGAAAGCAATTGTCACCACCGAAAACTTGACGGCGACAGCACCAAAATTCCCATACCCCACCACCTGCTTAGTAGCGTTGTCGACTCATCGGCTTGGCTTCACTCAGAGCTTCGCGGCTAGCACCCGCGGTCACACGCGGAGCAGGAAATCCTTGATCCATAGCCGCCTGTCGATCATCACGATAACCAGCCGAACGGTGTGACTGCTGCGCCAGTTGTTGTGCTTCACCCTCCTTTGCCTCGTCACGAACGTAAGGACGACCCTGCGGCGTGACTTGACGGCCATCACGAGAAGCATCTTGGCGCGAATCCGCACGAGCGACTTCCTGGCGTGAGTCAGCACGAGCGCTGCGCTCTGCCTCCCCACTAGTGCCACGCTCTCGACGACCACTGCGCAGATTCAAAACCGTCCAGTCAAACATTGCGTCAAATTGAAAGCCTTTGCGAAAGAATAGCTCCTTGAATAAACGCTTCAGATAAGCGTAATCGGGTTTGTCATCAAAGCGCAAGGCGCGGCAGTACTCGAAATAGGCACGAAATTCTGCCGGGTAGCCCTTGCAGAGCACCTCAATGGGTGTATTCATTTTCTTTTCCATGATTTTCTCGTATTTCTGCTTCTTCGTATTTGCCTTAAGACCTTGCCAGGGCAAACTGCCGCGGATGAAATACATGTAAACGTAGCCAAGTGACTCCAAGTCATCACGACGACTTTGCTCAATTCCCACGTGAGTATTAATAGAGGCGTAACGAGCCGTGCCCGTAAGATTCTTATTTTCACGGTAAGGAATATGCTGGTGCGTCCGAGGGTCGCGATACTTTTTAGCAAGACCAAAATCAATGATGTGGACAATCTGAGCACGTTTCCCCAAACCTATCAGAAAGTTGTCGGGCTTGACATCTCGATGAATAAAATTCTTTGCGTGACAATACTCGAGGCGACACAGCAATTGATCCGCAATCATTAGCACGGTCTTGAGCTGGAAACGGCGACCACAATAGTTGAAAAGGTCTTCAAGCGACGGACCTAATAAATCAATCACCATTACGTTGTATTCTCCCTCGACACCAAACCATCGCAAGCTTGGGACACCCACTGTAAGAAACAGAAAGACAATGCATTCCGTATGAGCAAAATTTAGGGCAAACTTGCGAAAGACAGGGTAAATTATACGCACATCCGCCGGAAAGTATCTTGTAGATTTTCGACTCGTAGAGTAGCTGAGGATGTTTACTCTTGACAGACTCTAGCTTTATGCCAACCTCTTCGCCAGAGGTCATATTGGTGCCAAGATAAATGTCTCCAAATGAACCGCTGCCGATTTTGCGGCCCAGGCGAAACTTCTTGCCGACTCGCAGCTCCAACGCGCTCTCACGATGATGAGACATTCTCATGCGTCGGTCAAATGGAAACTATGGGTGATTGAGACTACAAAAGGGAGAATATCACACACAAGTAATATGTTAGTTTTGCTAGGAAAGGCACGATTTTGGACGCCCCCCCGCGGTTCCCGAATAAGTTTTCATAATACAACTCCGAGGGTGGACTAAATCATGTAGCTTGTAGTACTGGCAACCTATCGCCGCATTAAAAAAATCCTGGCAAGCTACTTACGTGTTCCGATGCGAGGAGCGCGCACTGGCTAATGCTCGCTGGGAAGAAAGAAACAGGGGGTGACGACGGCTCGGTCCAGAAAAAGAAAAGAGTAATTTACGACGGAACGACCCAAATATTACTGCCCAGTTTGCAGGCTCTAACTTTGCCCACATGGATATCAAAATTCTCTATAGCCTTTTTAAGGCCTCTTTTATATTATTTCTTAAGCTAGCTAATTTCAAAGCTAGAGCCTAAATGCTGTAGAATAAGGCTTAACGCAACTTCGCCTAACAGTGATATGATTTAAACTGTACTTATGATTATAATGTTCTTTAGAAAATATAAATCGTAATTCTTCTTTGCTCAAATTCGTTTAGGCCGAACCGGATTTGGGACCGGCATGAGCCCAAAGCGACTGGCTTGAATTGAAGTGGATCACAACCAAACCATCGTACTTAACGAGTTCCTCGTCGTATCCACCATGTCAGCCAAAGCTCTTGCGTGCGTGCGTAGTACGACCGCGAGCGGCTCAGCTATCTACGAAACTGAGTGTGCTGTGCACGAATATCTTCAATTCCACTACGGTGCACTGGTTTTGGGCGCTTCACGATGTTGAGTTATACAGCTCATAACGATGACATGCTCTAAATTTGTAGAGGAGCCGTCAACGATTGTTCCCTACGACTTCGCCCCTTTGGACGCACTGCAGTTCTTGCCGCGGATTGTTGAGCGCTGCTCAAAATTATCAAACTTATCTCAGCGCGGTCGTGGTCTGGATCTCGGCTGCGCAGTGGGACGGGCCACGTTTGAGCTTAGCAAGTATTATGACGAGGTGTGGAATGACGTTCGAGAAAGCGCGAGGGTACAATTAGCTGATGTTATTGCTCGTTTGTAATTATATTGAAGGTTATCGGGATCGATTTTTCCCGGCACTTTGCGAATGCAGCCAAGGCCATGAAAGAGAAAGGAATTGTGGAGTATAAAGCACACATTCAAGGAGACATCTTCGAGGTACGTTGGGCGAAGCTACCTGCTGGTGCCAAGCCAGATCATGTGGATTTTTTTCAAGGGGATGCGTGCAATCTTTCCCCTTCTCTCGGTAATTGGGTAGAAGTTGCAGCACACATGAAGTGATCATGCAAGTTTGACATCCACTGTTCTTTTCTCCTGCAGGAAAGTTTGATGCAGTATTGGCTATAAATCTGTTGTGTCGCCTGCCGGAACCTAAGATTTTTTTGACCAAAATTAGCGAATTTATCAACTCTGACGGTATTCTCGTTCTCGTAAGCCCATATTCGTGGCTAGAGGAGTACACGACCAAGGACAAATGGATTGGCGGTGTCTGTGGCGCAGACGGTAAACCCGTTGAAAGCTTCAATGATATCAAAAAAATTCTCTCAAGGAACTTCGACTTGATTGAACGCCGTGACTACCCATTTATGATTCGCGAGCATGAGCGCAAGTATCAATGGGGCGTATCTGACGGCAGCTTTTGGAAGCGGAAATAGTTGATATCACTTCATCTTTGTGTAGTTCTGCGCGTGCGATACCTATCATGTTACCAGCCAGCTTTTCAACATGTGTGGCTTTTCACCTTTCGAAACCATAAAACTTCGTGCATGGAAAAGTTGCAGCATATACTAAGAAACTATTAACTGACTACACAGCCAGCGAGTTGCTATATTGAATGAGAGCCGTATGCTTAGGAACCGAAGAAAGCTCGACACACGGTCCGTGCGTATGGCACACTTGCTACCTTTGGACTAGAAGTGCCACACTGTACCACACCAATGCTAATGCTGCAATTAGCCGATGGGTGACTACATCGACTCGATTTTTGCCATCTTACAGACCTGCATGCTCTTTGTCCACACATTGCATCAAAAGTACGATGTTTCTGCATGTAAATCGAGTCTTATACCCCTTACGACTCGAACAAGTAACCGCTTCGCTGACGTTGTTAAGCATTAACCCCTAGCGCAACAGCACTTCTCCTTTTTTGGCCAGACGATCGACTTGACTTCGTGCAAGCAATCCCGTTATTGCTGTTTCCTGTGGCTGTTAAATTTCCTGCACCCGTTACAACACTATCACCATCTTCTGCTGTTCGACGGTGGTGGTGTATGGCGGCCATTTGATGTGATTGATGGTTATGGTGCAGCAGCGACGGGTGGCTGCGCCGGATTTCTTGAGCAGGTGGCACTTTTGGGTAGCTTTCAATCACGTACACAAGCTGACCTTCGTGCTGCGGATCAGCAGCTACGAAATGGCGCATCTGGTAATATGGAGAATACGGCAGTGACGAATTACGGACGCGCGTGTACATGTAGTGGTTGGCCAATTCGTTGTAATACCGTGCATACGTTTCACAACTCACGTGTAGGCTAAAGTTAATAAGGAGCAGATACTCAACTTCAAGCTCATTCATTTCGGGGCATGGCACACCACCCACCTTAGCGTAGTAGGCATTGTTAAAATAGTGGTCGTCGAAAAACTTGGCTGCTAGCACAACGCTTGTGATGACAACACGGTGCACATTAAGCTCAGTAAGAACAAACCCTTGCATTTGATGCAAACGGTCCATGTACACGAGTGCAAGCACGAAACACTCGGGACTGCAACTGGCGTACTTATGAATGCGCGCGAGATAGTCAGACACCGAGATTCCTGGTGCACGAAAAGCCTCAAACTTTGTTTTGTGGTAGTAGCCTATTGGCATACGATCGCTAGCATGCACCATTGATTCCACAACGACCGCCAGTGTCTGCACGATGGCGCGACCACGCTCGTCATTTGCATTGGCTCTGTCATCTAGCATCATGGCCATAACTGCTGCAGGGTAATAAGCCGTTTTTTCTTCCAAGCCTTCCTGCTGCCCGTCTTACGATGTCTGGCTGAGGGGGACTATCTGGGGCACACAGTCCCTCGTCGCAATGACTTGCCGTTTTCTCGATGAGAAAAGGAGGAACTGAGACAGCAAAAATGCACTCGCTTCTCTTCTCCGCGCCTTTTTTGGCTTTGCGTACTTGACATTAGGCTGACATAGAAAAGAAGAATTTCGACGAGCACCAACCAACCTAGAACACTACCGGTATTTCGGCAGTGACAGCATATATTTTTGTGCAAATCAATCAGTCTATCGTGAAAACAATGGACACCCGTCAAACTAGAAAATTGAATGCCACTAAAAGTGTCTCTTTATCGGTTGTTGGTGGCAACTTATGCTGCTATATCTGCGTCGAAATAAGTTGCCGTCTGAAACAATTACCTCTGTTAAATCGACACCCCACACGCATATGAGTGTATGATAACCAAGCTCTGTACCCCGATTGCTCACGGCTCAATCATTTCAAGCCTATCATCGTTCTCTACCACACGAAAAACGAGACATTTGTTGTATATCGCATCATATTCATAGACCTCAAATAACAAGAATTCTCGTAAAGCTTAGCGACAAGATTGAGCACACATCTGCCTACTCACCTATTATCCACCACAATTTTTCAAACAGCAGCCAATAAGTAATTATTCGGCTGAAGTTCCAGCTAAAGTCAATCTGTTAAAATATATGTAAGAAGAAAGAAAAGATAGTCATTAAGAGAGGCGAAAAGGGTTGGGATCGTATTTAAAATATTCGAGCACTGCATCAGCATCAAATATGAGCTCAGAGCTTTTTTGATTCAAGCTGATGCCTGATTTGAGCAGAGAAGAAGTTAAATTATAGTCAGTGCAGCCATCCCATAAAATATAAATGACACATGTACGAATTTTCAAAACTAAAACACATGATGTAGGAAATCTGGCTTCATAAGCGTACATTTAGCCTTGTCAGCAAATTTAAACGAACACATGAATAATGTATTAGTTAGACAGGTATAATAAAATCGTTTTACTTTTACTCTGCAACGCTTGAAAGTGGTAAAATTTGGCTATGTATCCCACGGGCTTCATACAGAAATTTTCTTTTCAGGTGCTCAACAGAACCTTTTAATCACTTAGATTCAAAATAACCTTCAACGAGCATCCCAGAATGCACCTTTATGAATGCCGTCGGTGGCATTCATCTATAAACGACAAGTCGTAACCCACAGCATTTTTGATGGCTACTAAACCAAACGTCACGTCACACATTAAATAAGCTACGCGAGCAGCACCAGCAAGGCATGAATATCAGTCTATCGGTACGATATTCCCACATACTTTATGTGCGACAAGACTATCGCCTTATCTGTGAAATGGTTCTGTATAAATTATATATTTTCTTGTTCCTTATTTAGAAAAATATCGATTGTACAAACCAGCTTGATGACAGTGATGCACTTAGAGAGTCTATGTGGTCAGCTGGGTCGTCGCCGCAGTCAAAGGTCAGGACGAACCATTAAATTAGGATTGCAGGGTCGTATTATGTCTACTCCATCTCTGCTTTAGCCATATCAGTAATATGAAAACGATAGTATGGAGGCAAGTCACAGCTACGCGGGGCTGAGAGATTAGATCTACACGATGCGCGCTGATACTTTACAACTGAAGTGTCAAGAGACTCGAATTTGAAGAAGGGTAATTTGCATTGTAGAACCTTGGAATTTATCAAAAGCCATCACGAAAGGTCCATGATGCGGGGTTGGACAATTTACGAGAGAATCTCTTATAATATGACAAATTTATGGAATTTGACGAAATTTTAGGCAAATATATATATTCTTGGAAGTGGTATTTGCAACGATGCTTCTTGAAATACGTGATTGCAGCGATTGAGGATATGCGCCGATATATTGGTTACACTGAACTGCAAGCACGATGATATTATCGGCATATGCAAATGAAGCTGCTGAATTTGCGTGGAATGGGTTCGGGTGACGGACCAAAGCATCCGAGCTTCGTAACATTAGTTTATATGAGCCAAGAACGGTCAATATCATCGATGACGTTCTACTAGAGAGGTAGGGGCTGTAAAAAGTTAATTTTTATCAAACAGTGGCGGAATGATTAGAGCAAGACATTTCTTTCTAATTTCGGTTGGTCAAGTCTGTCTATGTCGTCAAGCAGCCAAGAGAATAAACTCATTTGCTAAAGTGGACGCTGATTTGACTTTACGGCAAACCAATCAAGTGAGTAGAAAATATTTAGCTGACAGCAGTATGATTCAAATGATATTTATAATGTGCTTGCTGTTGCAATCCTCCTGATATAGATCAAGCAAGTAATGCGAGTAATGAATTTACGACAATGCACCTTCGAAAATGAGGCCTCTCAGTGAAAACAAGTTTGTCTCCACCCATACGAGGAATCTTTGCTTAAACTGAACTTGCTTCTACTGTAGTTCAAAGCTGCTACACAAGCTGGAATGCTTGTGAAGCTAATGATCAATCCAGGTAAATGATATATAAGAGACCCGTGGCGACTAGAGCCTAATAGTAATTCAAGAAATACCATCTAGACCCGTGATGACAATCTTATCCATAAAAAGAGGAGGCAAACCCGACAAAAGCCACAACAAATATTGATGACGGTATTAGCAGAGCTAGTTTGTAGACGTAAACTGATAATACTGAGCAATGGGACAACGATCTTTTCTTCCACAAATTTTTATAATGTCCTCATGATTGAAAGACATTAAGATAGAACAATTCCAAAACAATATTACAGTTTTGCTTTTATTTGATCTTTTAGTAAAGATTGCATCTAGAGAGTTCAGCTAATGTATTTCACGCTTTGATACTCGCCAAACAACCCTCTTTCCGTATTGGCACTCGTTATTCACGGGAGCAGCCGGTCGAATTTTTTATCCACCGCCCTATTTGGATCATAAAGATAAAACCATTGTTGCGAATCTAAGATGGATTTCCAAGCGGTCCATGCGCAGACCACACCATAATAACTAGTGATTTTGACAGTGTCATTGTTTACACTTTAGCAGATCATGTTTACAAATTCGTCCTGGACAAGCTTCGTACAATGTAAAATAGGTTCTACAATTGATTTCGATGGGCGTCTATTCGCCTACGTGTATACACATGAGGCAGCAAATGCCGTGGGTTTCTGCTAATGGGGTGCGGAACAGTGTCTTGGAGAGCTATCATATCGGTTATCCTGACGCTCGGTTGCGGTAAATTTATTAAGACTACAGCAGCATTTAGCGTAGTTCAAACGGCAGAATTTTTGAACACACAGGCATCACCCACCTCAAGTCGGTGTTTCTATGTCGCTAATTCGTTTAGGCGGCGCTTCGGTTGCCGACAACTAGAAGGGGTAGTTTTCTTTGTTGTTCTTCATCACTCATGATATTGAAAGCTGCGAGAGGCACTGACACCTTGACATGGTAAAACCATGCCTCGTTGATAAACGATAGAAGATAACGTTCTGCTGGTGTACAGTGTATTTGCCCTATCAAGAATGTTAAATGGTCTGCACTGTCTGGGAAACTTTTAGTTAAAGATTCGACAAATATTAAAAGGCCACCTGCTCACTTCGCTGGACAATCGTTCTAACCATGTTAACTTAGGATTCGGCAAATCTTTGCTAGCCATCGACTGATAATTGTACGAGACACCAGATAAATTCAAAAACGATCATTGGTGTTACATTGCTTTTCAATCTACAATTAGTTTAGAGCGCTCGCAAACACATAAACAGAAATGAACGTCAGTCGGATAACTCAGAATCTAGTGTAGAGAGCCTGGTGTATCGTGTATGAGTGACTTGGAGGCTGCAAGCAGTTTTGCGAATTAAGGACCTAATACATATAAATCCTTTGCATTTCACATTCTACTGCGCACTTCTCCTCAACTAACAAATCATCATTGGCAGATAAAGGTAACTTTAAATAAAACAGCCGAGCAAATATTAAAAGGTTCAAAGTGCGAGCGTATGAAGAGTTACAAGTCACGTCAAGGAAGAGGGGTGAGAAAGAGTGATCTATTTTGATCCTAAGGTGACCTAGATACGAAAGAACGCACCATTGGAGGTCTTCGTGCCACCTTACTTCTGCCAGCAGATTTATTATGATTCGTTTTTGAATTTTCTGTAGACAGCATGGTGTGCACCTGCTTTCATTTTTTCATGCGTACAGCTCAATAAAGTGTACATTGAAGCTGTGGTCGGCCATCAGTCCCAGAAGTGTGGTACGCTTAAGCTCGAATTTCAAATGATTTATACCAAAAAATATGATGTGGTGTTATGGCACTAGATTTATACGAGTAGACCATAACCTTAACAGCACTATTGTAACGGGGTTACATGAGAGTGACCCGTCACTCTCCCAGGGGAGCTGTGGTGTGGCATACACCACAGCTACTAGATGGCTTGAGAGCCATGTAATAGGAAAACATTAAGGAACACCTATAAATATATTCAGT